GATTTCTGGCTCAAGAACTCTGAGCTTTTGAGGCTTTGGTGGACCAATGAGTCACATCCAGTGGCAAAGTCACAAAGAGGCTTAAGCCCAGACAGTCAAGATCTCTCCATAAGGTTTCCAAATGAAGAGGATAATCTTGATGTCAGGAGACCACCCAATAGGTTCAGGGGCAAATACTGCTCCAATGGCCTTCTTGAAGCCTGTGAAAACCTGCAACAGGACTTCTGATACTTTTGTTTCTATTCTAGCCTGTGTAGAGACATGAGGGACACATGTCAGGGCCAGAGGTAGTCCCAGGACATCTTTCAGATATTATTGACCCATGAACAACCTAAGAGACTTAGCTTGGACCCTGTAAAATACCTAACCTTCTGGACTACAATAAAATACATACTTAACTCCATCATCTTATCCTCTGCCCTTCACCCATGGCCATTAAACTCAGAGATTGTGCCTCTAGGGCCTGCTCAATCAGTTTAGCAGCAAGGGCCTATTTACACCCTATTTCAAAGGATGTAAGGATGCAAACCATCCTTCAAAAAAGCCTACTTAGAGAGACAAGTACTGATTTGGGTGAAGAGAAAGGGAATATACTAAATGAGAGTGATCAACATGGAAGCATTGAGGAAGAGAAAGAGAAGTGCATGGTGGGTACTGACAACAAAGATGAACCCTTTTGCACATACAGTACTGCATTGTTAGTGAAGGCAAACACTGATATACAGGTGGCTAGATGGCTACACAAACTGAACTATTAGGTATGTCTATGCAGGGGGGAATGTGCCCATGACCGTTTTGGCAGACAATGTTTCTACAAGTGTATTTGTATGTTCTGTAAGAATTTCCAGGTATATAGTAGAGCTGACAAGGAACAAGGTTGTAGTCACTTCTTGGCCACAGCCAGCTACCCAGAGGGAGTGAGTAGTTGGACCTGTGGGCTTGGGATCATAGTCACAGGGGGACATCAAGCTCAATTGGCATAACATAGTACACATAAACATTGTTCCACCTCCTACTTTGGTGAGTAGCGACTGGGATCTTCAAAGCTTGCAAGTACCCATCTAGATGAAACGATGGGTCTCTCCTTGTCCAGAGCAAAGAAGAATGAAGAAAACCAAAGATTCATGGAAAAAATTAGTCCAAGCGACTGGCACACTATGTGATCCTCAGCCTATACGATTGAGACCAGAAGAACTAGATGATGTCCAGCTACCACCATCAATCACCTGGAGGGGGATCTCTGAAGGAGATCCTGGATAGAGTGGGAGAACAACGTGGAACAAAGCTCAAAATAATTTTTTTAAAAAAGGACCATATTTGCTGGTCTGACAGAGCCTGATGGAAGCATTGAGACTATGGCCCCTAGTTACCCTTCAGGTCTGGAATTGGACCCACTCCTGTGGCTTCTAGCCAAACAAAAGACAGGCATATGAGCTGAACACTTATATTACGTAGATACACTCCTTGGAGAGACCAGTCATGGAAGAACAAAAGGGCTGTGTATGTACAGAGAGACAGCTAGTGGGTGGGCAGGAGTGCATGGAGAGAAAGGCACATGGAAGAGTAACTATGGGGAAGTAGGAGGGAAGCTGCTGCATTGTGGTAAATTGTAGTCAATGTTATGACACAAAGTGTAGGTGGGCTGCTGTATGGAAAGTGAATTTTCTCTGTAAATTTTCACCCAAATCACAATAAAAATTAAACAAACAAACAAACAAAAAAAAAAAACCTACCTAGGTAACACCTGCCTCTCAGGGATTATTGACCATTTGCAACACTTGAGCTGCATCTTATCTTACCTTGTCTCCATACCTTCTGGCTTTTTATTGGCTCCCTGACCCTCCTTAAGGAGCTCTGGTGGTGCAGTGGTTAAGGCATTTGGCTGCTAACCAAAAGGTCATTGATTCGAAATCACCAGCAGCTCTACAGAAGAAAGATGAGGAAGTCTGCTTTTGTAAAGATTTACAGCCTTAGACACCGGAAGTGGGTTTGCTTTGGGTTTGGTAAGAGCCCCTCCTTAGATTCCAGGGCTATTGTGGGAAAGATTAACACATCTATGAGTAATTCCACAATTCCTGGACCTGCTTTTTCATTTCTAAGACAAGGATGCCTGCTGCTTACTTCATTGAGACTCACACTGTGTGAAAATGCGCTTGGCACAGACATGGTATGCTCAGGATATGCCAGGCCTATTGCTATGTGTAGTCTCATTCATCTTTTACAGCCCTGTGAGGCACGCGCTAAACTATGCATTTTTCAGATGGGAAAACTGGCTGAGAGGTTGGTTATCGTTCTCACGGTCACCAGGAAGGGAAGGATGAGAGGTAAGTACTTTTGGGTTGTCCGGACTTTGAATGTCCAGAGTAGGTGTCTACACTCTGAAGCCGCGGTCACGCTCTCTGCCCTCACTGCTGTCACGTGAGGCCTCGGCAGGCTCTGGAGGACTGGCTGGCAGCGGCGGGAAAACCTCCCGCTCTCCATGCAGCAGGGCGCCCGCGCCCACCTTCGCCACTGAGACTTCCGGGATCCTGGAGGGCCGGAAGTGGGGGCCTCACCCGCTTCCGGCTCGGCCATTGTTTTCGTTTGTGCAGGTCGCGGTTCTGTCTGTTTTTGCTGTAGAGGATTTGCAACAGCGGGTTCCCCAGTGAGCGATCCTGGAGCCAGGAGGAGGCGGGGCTGGGGTCCAGGCCGCAGCCGTTGCGGTCCGGAGCTCGGGTCACCAGCGCTGGCCATCCCCACTGTTCGCCCCCGTGGCTGGCGACGCGTTCCCTGGTGCTTAGAAGTTCCCGGACGCAGAACTATCTCTTTGTCCTATTTGTCTGACCAGCTGTGCCTGGCACGGAGCCGGGCACCTGTGGGCACAGCGATGAACAGGGCCGACGTGGTCAGGTGAGGGGCGCCGCAGCGACCTGGTTTAGAATGAAATAGATGTAGATGTTTTCTCAGCCTTGCACTGGGAGAGACACACAATACGAAGCGTCAGAAGTAGGTCAGACGCAGTCTTGGAATTTCAAACGTGAAGGGTGACGTGGAAACTCTAGAATCCAGATGAGATAAACTGCTGAGTTTAGGCACAATAATCCGGGAAGAAGGAAAATGGCCCAAATTTCTTAGATTTGTGAAATCTCAGAGGAGAGTTCACATTGTTTTTTAGGTCTATCTTTGTCTTTTTAAAGAAATTGAGACTCGGAGAAAGGTAGTTTGCCCAGGGGTCAGGGATGCATGGTGAATTAAAACAGCACAAATGACCTACTTACTACGGTACTGATTTTCAAACAGGATTTTACAGTATATAAACTGGATAAAAGTACTCCCCACACACACACCCCACTTGAGGGAAAATTGCTCGCAAATTTCAGCTTTACAATTGGTTAGAGTAATCATCATTGGCTAGGAACCAAATTTTAAAAAATGTTAACACTGAGATACATGTGACAGACTATGAATTGAATGATAGAGTCAGAGAGCTTCAGAAATAATTGAAATGATTTCCACATTCATTCATTCACCAAGTGCCTCTGTGTGCCATATTCTCTGGGTACAAAGATGACTGGAAGCCAGCCCTGTGAGGGAGACAGCCATGTAAACCATAGACAATTACATTGTGAGAAGTGCTCTAGCAGAGATTTGAGTGAAAAGGGAACTATAGGATTGCTGAGATGATAATCACACTGAGGCCTGGCAAGACTGGGGAGGATTTTTGGGGGAAGTGACGTCAGATGAAGGAGTTCTGGTATTTTTTGACTCCATCTGGTTTCTTTCATTTGGTGACCATCCAGCAGCGGGGAGTATGTGAGTGGTAATTTTGCATAAAGTGTTACAGTGTGAGTTACAGAAAGGGATGCTGCCAACTTTCCCTGTCTGAACTTAAGGAAAAGAAAAATCCAAACAGAGAAAGAGTATGGTTCCAGCGGTGTCTCTAGAACTTCAGTCTCCAAACATAGTTTTTTGTGCATTCCTATGCATAGGAGCTCTGGTAGCATAGTGCCTAAGGCACTTGACTGCTAACCAGAAGGCTGGCGGTTCAAACCCACCAGCCACTCCTCGGAAGGAAGGTTGGGCATTCCTATTTCCGTAGTGATACTGCCTTGGAAACCCAAGGAGGGGTTGCTATGAGTCGGGGCCAACTCGATGGCAAATAACAACAACAACAATGCATAAAAGAGTTTTGAGCAAGCACTGCCAGCATAGGTTTATTTTTGTAAATTAAAGATAAGTCCTATCATACAAATTTCAATATGCATTATAAAACATATGCTAAATAGAAGTTTCAGAGGTGGGAAAGAAAAATAAAAATAAAAACAGTATTTTTTAAGAAAAATGTTACTGTGATTTGGGTGAAAGTTAAAACAGTATTTTCTTTTGCACCCTTTGACTCATCTTGCAAATCCCACTGGAGAACCTTGCAGACTTTCTAGTGGGTTACTTGGAGAGGGTGGTAGGGGGGTGGCTGGAACAGAGGTCTAAGGCCAGGATGTGAAGAACTGTGAATGCTGGGCATAGATATTTAGGTTTTTTCCTGTAGATGATGGGAGCTACTGAAAGTTTAAGAAGTGAAGTGACTTGGAGAGACTGTTCTGGCTGTGTCCTTTTTTCCTGGAGCTTTGTTTTTTAACTCTGTGAAGGGTCTGTTGTCAGCCTGGGGCTGAATACCCCTGGAGACTCTGATTACTGTCTTGGTATTTCTATATGTGACACTCTCATTCCCTACCTCTCCCCAACTCTTAAAACAGCTCCTGAGACCTGAATTACAGATCAGTGTTTTAATCAGACGTACTGCAGCTTGAAACAAGCTTCTTGGGATCACAATGGCCGCTGAATGCAGGGGGACTTTAGGCCTCACCCCTCAGGGTCCTGTTTTCCAGAAGCAGGAGGGGCGCCTGCCTGTGAAGCAGGAACCAGTGAGCCAGAGTTGGGGGCAGAGCTGCAGTCTCCAAAAGAATCACCCTCCTGTCTGTGAAATCTTCCGGCTTCACTTCCGGCAGTTATGTTACCATGAGATGTCTGGGCCCCAAGAGGCTCTGAGCCGACTCCGGGAACTCTGCCGCTGGTGGCTGATGCCAGAGGTCCACACCAAGGAGCAGATTCTGGAGCTGCTGGTGCTGGAGCAGTTCCTGAGCATCCTGCCTGGGGAACTCCGGACCTGGGTACAGCTGCATCGCCCTGGGAGTGGGGAGGAGGCTGTAGCCGTTGTAGAGGATTTCCAGAGACACCTCAGTGGACCAGGAAAGGTAAGCAGTTTAGTCTAGAATGGCATTTGGGACCCTTCTCTTGTGCTTGGGTTAGGTTAGAATAGGTAGGTTACAAGCTGGTTTGCCCTTTGGGTTCCTGAGCTACTTCCATGGATGGAGGGAAATAGCTCTGTGCTCTGAGCCATGAACAAAAAATGCAAACCACAACCAACTCCTGTGAATCACTTTGTAAAATACTGTGTGGTAAGCCTAGCTTCAGCCTGGATATCCACATAGCACTCTTGGCAGGCAAGGGGCCTGCATACTGGGTAGAATCAGGGGATACTCTTGAGTGTCACAAAGCCCCTGGCTTTGCTGATTACATGGGCCCTCTTTTTTTTTTTTTCCTCCACCAAGTTAGTATGTGTCAGCTCTCTAGTTAGTGGTTTACCTTCCCTTCCCCACCCACCCCTGGTAACCATTAAAGAATTTTTTGTGTGTTTGTGAAACCCTTTTCTTGACTTTTTACAACAGTGGTCTCATATAATATTTGTCCTTTGGTGATTGAGTAACTTCACTCAGTATAATGGCTTCTAAGTTCATCTATGTTATGAGATGTTTCATGGATTCATCACTATTCTTTAATGTTGCATAGTATTCCATTGTGTTACATGGGCCCTTATTTGAGAAGTTCTTATTACTCACTTCCCCTCTAGCTTTGCACCTTTGTGCTTTACCAGGGAAAACCTGTATATGAAACTTCCCAGTTAACCCAGACATCATTTTACTCAGTGCTCTGTTAAAAATGTTGATATATCTCTGCCTAGGTAAAACATCGTGGGGCTAGACCTTTTCCCAGGAGTACCAGTCAACACTCATTTGGCATTATGAAATCCATTGTCAACCATTATTTCCTTTGTGAAAATAAGCAAATATGCACAAATATATCAACCATAGCAAGAGTTTAGGGAGCAACTAGGTCTAACTGTGAGCAAAGACACGAGGCTGAAGCAGTATTTAGAATGTCATTTAGTGAGGTGAATGGAAGGACAGTTTCCCTATTTCCTTACTTGTTTTGTTTGAGGTAAATATTAGCTGAAGAGAACACTGCCTTCATTGAAACTCACATAGTCTTCTATCCAGGAAGCCTCATAGAAAGGTAACTGAGTCACAAAACCAAGATGGTTACCAACAGTTGACAGGGCAAGGCAGCTGAGCACTCATGGCTTCAGCCTAGAATTGGGGTCTTTGGATCCATTTCTAACTATCAAAGCATACATTTTCTGACATGAGGTTAGAGAATGTCTCTCCTAGCTAGGCTCAGAAAATGTTTGTAGAATGATTAAGTGAATAAACAAGGTTTCCTTGGCAGTTTGCCTGGAGGACATCCAGGAAGAACAGGGTGAGTCAGAGTCATTCTGCTCAACAGGAATGAGCCACTTTATTGCTGCAGGTACCTCTAACATATGCCTGCTGGGTCTGTGAGAGAGTTTGAGATAATTCCTGCTGGGCTATATCATCTTGCAATTTGCAAAGTGCTTTCTAAGTCTTGTATCTTATTTCAAGTCTTAGCAGACTTATAAAATAGGCAAAATCATAATCATTATCTCCATTTAACAAGTGAAGAGAGCACAGAGAGGTTAATTCACTGGCCCAAGATCCCACAGCTTATAGGTGTTCCCTTTGTCCATGAGATTTAGCCAAAGTATGGTTATTGCTGAATACCAAGAATGGAGACTAGGATTTCTGGGCTCTCTAGGTTCTAAGCCACTAACTTTACCCTAGAGTCTTACTGTGGAATGGAATCCATTTCAGAATGAAAATCACAATGGGGTTTTCATGCCTGTGAGGAAAGGAAACATGAGTCTGAAACCTAGATAATGAATAGGAACTGTGCCAGGATTAAATTGTCAGTGAATTATAAAGTTGTCCTGTCTTCTTCCAATACCTGCAGCTGCTGTATTGCAGAGCTGTGACTCCCATTTATAAGAACCGTCCACTGGGGAGCCTAGGAACTACAGACCCTGGGAAACTTACTGTTGCTACCACTCAAACTGATGAGATATATAATAAAGGAGAGAGTCCCCAAACATCTTAGCAGATGTAACCCGTAGGGCAAATCCAGCAAGGGTTATTGAAGGTGAAAGTATTTTCACTTATGCTGTGCTATACACATACCAGAAGAAGTGAGCATGTGAGTATGATTTATTTAGGTAATGTTTTAGGTTTTTTGGGGGGACTTCTTTGAGATTTTAGGTTCATCGCCTTCAGGGATGCCCTCTAATTGTATTTCCGTTTCTAGGTTTCAGCCCCTGCAGAGGCACAGGAAATGCATTTGGAGGAGACAATACCGCTAAGTACAACAGAGGAAGCACCTCCTACCTCGCCTGTCAGTGGGGGCTCAGCTCCTGGAACCCACCTAAAGCCTCCTCATAACCCTGGAGCACAGCATCTCCCCAATGGGCACATCGGTACTCACCTCTTTGGCTCTGACCTCAAGTCACACCTCCCTCCCTTCTCTTTTCTTTCTTCCCTACATCTCCCACCCCAATGGGATCTCATTGTCATGCTATCTGTCTTCCTTCCTTAGTGACCTTGTCTGTTCCTTTGCTTATCATTTAGTCATTCATGTATTTAGCAAGTTTTTCTTGAGCATATATCATAGGAAAGGAACTTTTGAGGACCAGGGGGATATAGTACACTGTCATTGCTTTCAGAGAGCTTTTATCTAGTTGGCAGAGGCAGTCAGTCTATGTGTAAAAAGAGGCACTCTCATAAGGTACATATGAGTGGTATCTGTTTCTAGGCAGGTATAATCAAATGATCCAGTCACAAAAGAGCAATGTAAGCATTATAAAAAGTGAGTGCAGTCATTGTGAGTAATAGGTAGGAGATGCTTCATGAAAGAATTACAGTAGGATTGTACAATGAAGAGTAGAGGAGGATTTTGAAGGGGAGAGATAAGTAGTAGGCATCCCTGGAGCACAGGGTATGATTAAAGACTATAGCCCATTGAGGGTGGGGTCAGGGAAGGCTATGTTTTTGGGAGTTCAAGGCCTCCTCGTTTAGGGCCTTGGCATTGAGGCCAGGAAGATTTTGGGGGGTAGAGGAGGACGCTTTAGACATTGTATTTCAGGAAGGCTATTCTGGCACAGGTGAGCACTGTGGATTGAATGGGGATATGCAGTTACTTTTATATGGCCTTTCTCACCATGGTCTTGTAACTCCCACCAAATGATTTGGTGGGACTATGCAAATAAGGTGCTTGTGGCCCACCATGGAGACTGGACAGCTTGCTAATAATGCATATAAGGTGCATGGCACCCTTTGAGGGTAGGACCATGCAAATAAGGTATATGGAACCCTAACAAGGGGCTTGGTCAGTTTTGTCATCTCACTGTGCTTAGAATGAGCCAGCCAAGAGGTAGAAAGGGGGAACCTCACTACCACCAAGAAAGAAGAGCTAGGAGTGGAGTATATCCTTTGGTCTCAGGATCCCTGCACTGAGAACCTCCTAGGCCTAGGAGTCAGAGAGAGAGAGCGAGAGTGAGAGAGTGAGCTGTAACACCAGAGATGGCAAGAAGTGGCGGAGAAACAGTAGCAGCAGAGGCAGCGGAATCAGAAGCCTGGCAGGAGATGATTTGGTGGGCTTCCCAACCCATGGAGTGAGAATGCTGAACACCTTTGGGCAGGAGGCTTGCTGGTGGAGTGGGGTGCCTCTGGGCACTTATTGGTGGAGCTAAAGAGCTTTGTAACACTTGCCTGAGCAGGGAAGAGGCTGGGCTCGGGCTGAGAGGCCCAGGGCCAGGGAGAGGGCTGCCTGTGGGCATGGCCGAGAAGCTGTCCTGACTGAAGAACGGTATCCTGAGTCGTTCCTGATCCTGAATTGTAACCTGTTACTTCCTTAATAAACCCCTTAATTGTGAGTATTGTCTGTGAGTTCTGTGTGGCCATTGCAATGAATTATCAAATCCAGCAGAGAAGTAGTGCTGTGGGAGGGACAGTTGGTGTCAAGATCGGTAAAAAGATTGGAGAGAGGAGGTATGTCTGACCTTTGCTTCATAGTAATCAGCCTTGTGCTGTTGATGCTAATAACGATTTTCCTCTCCACTTCTAAAGTCAGACGAGGTGGGACAATACTGCCTTTATGCCATTTTTACAGGAGATGAGTGGCAGGAAGGCTGGGTAGAAGGCTGGTATAGTAGAATAGAGGTGAGGCTGTTCTTCTGCACTAGAATAGTTACTGCCTGAACTGGGCGAGTGGAATGGAAAAAGATGTGCGAACCATTGTAAAGAAGAACCTGTGGTACGTGGGGTTGAGGAAGGGAGAGAGGGGAGGCATTAGAGAGTTCTGGGTAATGTCTGGAATCATTGACAGAACCTGTGAAGTCAGGAAGATAAGATGGTAAGAACATGAATTTTATTTATTTATTTTTTAATTAATTTATTT